AAATAAATACATCTTTAAAGAAAAATAAAATTAAACAAAGAGATATATCAAAAATAATATAATTAAATTTAAAAGTAATTTTAAAACAAATTCAAGTAACCCAAAGAAGTCAGATAGTAGAACAGAGACACAAGATATATATTTTAAAAAATTTAATGACAAATGTAAGTCCTAACAAAGATTTTATTTATTTATTTGAAAGGTAGAATTACAGACAGTGGGAGGGTGTGACAGAGAGAAAGGTCTTTTGTCTGTTGGTTCATTTCCCAAATGGCAGCAACAGCTGGAGCTGTCCTGATCCAAAGCCAGGAGCCAGAAACTTCCTCCAGGTCTTCCACGTGGGTTCAGGGGCCCAAGGGCTTGGGCCATCTCCTACCACTTTCCAAGGCCATAACAGAGAGCTGGATCAGAAAAGGAGCAGCTAGGACTAGAACCAGCACCCATTTGGGATGCCAGCACCACAGGTAGAGGATTAACCTACTGTGCCACAGCACCAGCCCTTCAAAACTTATATTTAATGTAAAAAGTCTGGGCCGGCGCTGGGGCTCACTAGGCTAATCCTCCGCCTTGCGGCGCCGGCACACTGAGTTCTAGTCCCAGTCGGGGCGCCGGATTCTGTCCCGGTTGCCCCTCTTCCAGGCCAGCTCTCTGCTGTAGCCAAGGAGTGCAGTGGAGGATGGCCCAAGTGCTTGGGCCCTGCACCCCATGGGAGACCAGGAGAAGTACCTGGCTCCTGCCATCGGATCAGCACGATGCGCGGGTGAACCAACGGCAAAGGAAGACCTTTCTCTCTGTCTCTCTCACTGTCCACTCTCCCTGTCAAAAAAATTTTAAAAAAGACTTAAATGTAAAAAGTCTTTACCAATTAAAAGGCAGATGGGCAAATTGTGTTTAAAAAATGACCCAATAATGTACTACCTACAAAGAGCTTCAAAATAAAAGCATAATTAAAATAAGAACAGAAAAATATATTATGCAAACATTGATCAAAGGAAATCAGGAGTGCCAATATCTACATCATATAAAGTAGACTTCAGAGCAAAGAATGTTACTAGAAACAGAGAGGAAAATTATATAATAATAAAAATGTCAGTTTTCATAAGACACCAATCCTAATTGTTTATGCACCAAACAGTAAAACTGTAAAATATATGACACAAAAATAGATACAATTGAAAGGAGAAATAGATAAATCTATAATAGAGTTTAATATTTCAACATCTATCTCAACATTGTTTGAAAAACTAGATAGAAAACCATCAAAGGACCAGTGCTGTGGCATAGTTGGTGAGGCTGCCACCTGCCGTGCTGGCATCCCATATGGGCACCAGTTTGAGTCCTGGCTACTCCACTTCTGATCCAACTCTCTGCTATGGCCTAGAAAGGCAGTGGAAGCTGGCCCAGGTCCTTGGGCCCCTGTACCTGTGTAGGGGACCTGGAGGAAGATTCTGGCTCCGACCTGGAGGAAGATTCTGGCTCCTAGCTTCGGATCGGCACAGCTCTGGCCATTGTGACCAATTGGGGAGTGAACCAGTGGATGGAGGATCTCTCTCTCTCTCTCTGCCTCTCATTCTCTCTTTTTGTAACTCTGACTTCCAAGTAAAATAAATAAATCTTTAAAAAAAAATCAATTACATAGAAAAATTCAACAACACCATCAACCAACAGGATCTAATTGACATGTGTAGGATACTTCATTCAAAAACAGCAGAATTTTTTTCAAGTACCATAAAACATATTCCAAGATATTTCAAATCCTTTGCCATAAAAAACTCAAAAATTTAGAAGAAATGAGGTAATATAGTGCATGTCTTCCAATTGCAATTGAATCTAACTAGAAATCAGTAAGAGTGATAAAAAAAAAAATTCCCAACCACTTGGAAGATAAACAATACATTTCTCTATACTCCTTCATCAAATAAAAAGCTTTAAAGGTAATAAAAACATATAATGAACGTAATGAAAATGAAAATAAGTGAAACAAAGAACTATTTCTTAGAAAATATCAATAAAATTAACAAACTTCTAACAAAATAAAAGTCATAAATTGCCAACATCAGGATTGAAAGTTGGAACACATATTTAATACTTGAAGATATCAAAAAGAAAATAAGAGCAGACTACAAGTATTTTTACACACAAAAATCTGACGGCTTAAAAGAAATGGACCAATGCCCTAAAAGGAACAAGTATCACAACTCATTCGATATGAATCAGATAACATGAATAGGCTGGCAATAATTAAGGAAATTAAATTTGTAAGTTTTTAAGAGACTTATTTACTTATTATTTGAAAGGCAGCGCAATGGTGGGGGAGACAGAGGTGAGAGAGAGAGAGAGAGAGAGAAATCTCTTCCATTTGCTGGTTCACTCCCCACATGGCCACAATAACCAGGGTTGGGCCAGGCCAAAGCCAAGGGCCAGAAGCTCCATCCAGGTCTCCAGAGCAGTCAGGACTTAAACTGGCACTCCAGTATGAATACTGGCATCAAAAGCAGTAGCTTAACCCTCTGTGCCACAACTTTGGTACCTAAGTGTGTAATTTTTAAAACTTCCAAAAATGAAATCTCCAGTCTTGGGTAGTTTCACAGGAGAACTCTAACAAAATTGAAAAGAAAACTTCTACAAATCTCTTTTACCTAGTAGAAGAGGGAGGAATGCTTACCTATTCATCTTATAAAGCTAGCATTACTCCACCAAAAATAGCATACCACACAAAATAAACTGCAGACCTATATCCTTCATGAATATAGACACCAAAATTCTTTTTAAAATGGAATTCAGCAATATATTAGAAGAATTACACACCATGACAAAGTGAGCTCTATTTCGGGAATGTAAAACAAGCCCAGTATTCAAAAGTCAATGCCAACATTGTACAGTAGCTGGTGAAGCTACTGCCTGGGATGCTTGCATCCCCTATGGGATCACCAATCTGAGACCCAGCTGCCCCGCTTCTGATCCAGCTCCCTGCTAGTGTGCCTGGGAAGGTAGAAGAAGATGGCCCAAATGCTTGGGCCCCTGCCATCCATGTGGGAGACCCAGATGGTGTTCTGGGCCTGGCTTCAGCCTGCCCCAGCCCCAGGCATTGCAACTGTTTGAGGAGTGAACCAGCAAATGGAAGATCTCTCTCTACCTCTTTTTCTTCCTCTGTATGTGAGTATGACTCTGAAGGTCCAATAAATAAACACATACATACATTTAAAAAAAATCAATCTATTTGGGCCTGGCATTGTGGCATAATGGGCATTCTGCCTCTCTGTAACTATACCTTTGAAATAAATAAACACATCTTTAAAAAAATCAATCTATGGGGCTCTGTGGCATAGTAGGCTAAGCCTTGGCCCATGGTACTGGCATCCCATATGGGTGCCAGTTCTTTAAAAAAAAAAAAAAAAGATTTATTTATTTTTACTTGAAAGTCAGAGTTACACAGAGAGAGAAGGAGAGGTCTTCAATCCGCTGCTTCACTCCCCAGATGGCCTCAACGGCGAGAGATGTGCCAATCCCAAGCAGAGCAGCCAGGATTCAAATCAGCACTCATATCAGATGCCGACACTACAGACGGCGACTTTACCAGCTATGCCACAGCTCCAGTCCCAAGGGTGCCAGTTCTTGTCCCAGCTGTTCCCCTTCCAATCCAGCTCTCTGCTATGGCCTGGGAAAGCAGTAGAAGATGGCCCAAGTGCTTGGGCCCCTGCATCCACATGGGAGAACCAGAAGCTCCTGACTCCTGGCTTCAGATCAGTGTAGCTTCAGCTGTTGCAGCCATCTGGGGAGTGAACCAGTGGATGGAAGATTCTCTCTCTCTCTTTGCCTCTCCCTCTCAGTCTGTAACTCTACCTTGCAAATAAATTTTTAAAAAACCAATCTATGTAATCTACCATATTAACAGGTTTTAAAAAATCATATGATCACATCAATTAATGTAGGAAAAACATTTGACAAATTCAACACACATTTGTAATAAAGAAGACTCCCCAAAATATAGAACTAGAAACTTACTCATACTGATTTTTCAAAAAGCACCTATAGGGACCTGGTGCTGTGGCACAACAGGTTTGTTGCCTGCAATGAATGCTGCTTCCTATACGAGCACCGTTCTTTCTCTCTATGTCTCTCCTCTGTATGTGTGTAATTTTGCTTTTGTAATAAAAACAAATAAATCTTTTTAAGAAAAAGCACCTATAAAAATCCTTGATGCTGAAAGACAAAGTGATTTCTCCCTAAGGCTGAGAACAAGGAAGGGATGTCCATTGTCACTATTCCTCCTCAACATAATGCTTAAAGTTCTGGTCATTGCAATTGGCAAGAGGAGGAAATAAAAAGCATGAGACCATAAAATAAATAAATAAGTAAATAAACGATCCCTATTTTCAGAAGACATGTTTGTCTATGCAGAGAATTCAAAGAATTGAAACAAATTATACAAGAACTAACAAGTGAGTTCAATCAGCTCATGGAATACACAAGTCAAAGCACAATAATATAAAATGATGACGGTATGGGGGGGGAAGCCATTGTAACCCATGAGTCGTACTTTGGAAATTTATATTCATTAAATAAAAGATAAAAAAAAAAAAAGCACAATAATATAAAATGAACACATGGACATTGAAATTAAAAATACAATACTACCTGCAATCACTAAAAAATGCTCAGGTGTAACTCTAAAAAATACATCCCAGATGTGTGTTCTGAAAACTACAAAATGCTGATGAAGGAAATACAAAAATCCCTAAATAAATGAAGAGACATACTGTGCTTGAGCACTGGAACATCGCATAGCAAATATGTTAATCCTTTTCTGATATATAGGTTTAACACAATTCTTTTCAAATCCTTTTATTTATGCAGATATAACAAGATTATCCTAAAATCTATATAGTGACACAATAGAATTAGAAGCTGAAATCATTTCTAAGAAAAAGAAAGTGACAGGAATCTGTTCACCCAATTTAAAGACTTCCACAGATGTGGTAATCTAGACTGTAAGGTATGGCAGAAGGGATATACTCTTAGATCGATAGAACACAGCAGAGAACAGAGATCCATACCCTCAGCAATATACCCACTTAATCAGAGTTCTCTAGAGAGAGAAAATCAATAAGATATATGAGAGAACTTCAAAAGTTTCATGGAAATGGGATTAATAGATAATGCACATTTTCCATGAACTCACTGAAGACCTTTCGTGTGTGAGGTCTTAGAAAAGAAACCAACTCAAGAGAAAAATCAATAAAGACAAGAGTTAGTTCTTTGAAAAGAGTAATCAATTTAATAAACACCTAGTAAGATTTATTAAGAAAAGAATTAAGACATTGTTTATAGCCATTGTCTATATTTCCACTAAACTAGGGTCTTTTTGCTTTTTACTTGTTAAACTTCTTATTTGGTGGAGTATTAAGCCTCTTTACTGTAATGTAAATTTAGAAGATGTTATCTCAAAAGCTAAAAAACTAAAAAAAAAAAAAAAAACAAAGGACGGAAAGTAGGAGGAAGAGAGGGGAAGGGAGAAAGGGAATATCATTACATTCTTAGAATTACATCCACAGGTGCCAGCGCTGTGGCGCAGACGGTTAAAGCCCTGGCCTGAAGCTTTGGCATCCCATATGGGCACTGGTTCTAGTCCCGGTTGTTCCTCTTTCGATCCAGCCCTCTGCTATGGCTTGGGAAAGCAGTGGAAGACGGCCCAAGTCCTTGGGCTCCTGCACCTGCGTGTGAGACCTGGAAGAAGCTCCTGGCTCCTGGCTTCGGATTGGCGAAGCTCTGGCCATTGCAGCTAATTGGGGAATGAACCATCGGATGGAAGATCTCTCTCTCTCTGTCTCTATCTCTCTCTGTAACTCTGTCTTTCAAATAAATAAAATAAATCTTAAAAAAAAAAAAGAATTGTATCTACAAAGCATATTGAATCTGTTAAAATCTAATTAAAATTTTAAAAATTTTTAAAGAATTAAGGCATAAATTACTAATCAGGAATTAAAGGAGACGCTATTATTTAAAAGGATGTAAGAAACTATTTTGAACAACTTTATGCCAAAAAATTTTAAATTTTAGATGAAATGAACAGATCAAAACTGACACAAGAAGAAACAGAAAAATCTGAATTATTCCATATCAACCATAAAATCAAGGTTAAAAACCCACAAAGGGGCAGGCATTTGGTACAGTGGTTAAGATGCTATTTGGGATGCTTGCACCCAGTATCAGAGTGCCTGGGTTTGAGTCCCAGTTCTGCTTCCAATTCCAGCTTCCTGCCCAAGTACAGTGGGGGAAGCAGCAAGCTATGGCCCAAGTGTTTGGGTTCCTGCCACCCATATAGGAGACCCAGATTGAGTTCTGGGCTCCTGGCTTCAGACTGGCCCAGCCCTAGCTATTGGGGGCATTTGCAGAATGAATCAAAAGATGGAAGATCTCTCTTTCTCTCTTGCTCTTGCTCTTTCTTTGAAATAAATAATTGATTAATTGATAATTTATAAAATCCACAAAGAACGTTCATTCCAGATAGTTTTGTCAGAAAACTTCAATTAGTCTTTTTTATAAAAATAACCTTATACTAATTCTTTCAGAGAACAGAAAAAGACACATAATTCCCAACTATAAACAAGCATAATCTTCATACCAAAACTTGATAATGATATTACAATAAACAAGCAACAGATTAACTCCCTCATAAAGAAGTAAATAGCCACAGTAAAATATGAGCCAACCAGAACCGGTGATGGATTAAAAGAACAGCATATCACAATCAAGCTGGGTCTATTCTTGGAATGAATGATTTATTTAATATTTGAAAATAAAACTATGAAATTTAACATATTAAAAGAATAAAAAATGATATTATATGATGATTGATAATATAAACTTGCATTCTATTGGGGATAGGGTATCCGTCAGGTCACAATTCTTTAAAAAACATATTCTTAGCAAACTAGGAAAGTAAAGTAACTTCCATAAGCTGAATTAAGAGTATTTAAAACAAACAAAAACAGCAAATATTTTCTTTAATACTGAAATATTTAGAGCTTTCCTTTGAGTTTGGAAACAAAATAAGAAAATGACCCATCATTGTCTACTATCATCAAGAAAAAGAAATAGTCTTAAAATATAAGAAGTGAAAAATATCAAAGTCTCATTTTTGTCAAATGACATGACTGTACTCATTTTAGCACTCTGGCCTCAGAATCAGCCCTTAAGGCATTCAGATCTGACTGAAATGCCCATGAGAGTATTTCAGGCATGGAAAGCCAAGACACTCTGGGGGAGGGGGGGGGAAACACCTAAATGAAAGATCTCCACGAGTGAGATCCCAGTGGAAAAAATGGGTCATCAAAGAAGGAGGTACCTTTCTCTGAAGGGAGGAGAGAACTTCCACTTTGACCATGGCCTTGTCTAAATATGATCAGAGTCAGTGAACTCAGGGGGCTTCCATAGCCTTGGCAGCTCATGACAAGAGCCTAGGGTGATTACTGATGCCATAAACAAGAGTGTCAATTTGTTAAGTCAACAACAGGAGTCACTGTGCACTTACTCCTCATGTAGGATCTTTGTCCTTAGTGTGCTGTACATTGAGATTTAATGCTATAACTAGTACTCAAACAGTATTTTACACTTTATGTTCTGTGTGGGTGCAAACTGATGAAATCTTTACTTAATATATACTAAATCGATCTTTTGTATATAAAGATAATTGAGAAGGAATCTTGATGTGAATGGAATGGGAGAGGGAGCAGGAGATGGGAGGGTTGCGGGTGGGAGGGAAGTTAATGGGGGGAAAGCCATTGTAATCCATAAACTGTACTTTGGAAATTATATTTACTAAATAAAAGTTAAAAAAAAATATGCCCCCAAGGATTGAATATAGGCTTTTGCAGTTAATAAGTGAAATTAGCATATTCATTGATTAATTTATCTTCTAATCACTGGTATAGGATATAAAATCAATATATGAAAATTATTGAATTTTATATATCAAGAACCAACATTTAGAAAACTAAGTTCTTTAAGAGTATAAATGTAATTTATAACAATGTAAAAAAAAAAAAAAAGATGCCTGGGGGCCAGCACCGTGGCTCACTTGGTTGATCCTCCACCTGCGATGCCAGAATCCCATATGGGTGCCGGGTTCTAGTCCCAGTTGCTCCTCTTCCAGTCTAGCTCTCTGCTGTGGCCTGGGAGGGCAGTGAAGGATGACTCAAGTGCTTGGGCCCCTGCATCCACATGGGAGACCAGGAGGAAGCACCTGGCTCCTGGCTTCGGATTGGCGTAGCTCTGGCCATGGCAGCCATTTGGGGGATAAACCAACGGAGAGAGGACCTTTCTCTCTGTCTCTCTCTCTCACTGTTTAACTCTGTCAAAAAAAAAAATGTCTGTAGCTAAATCCTATAGACCGTCATGTAAAATTACTACTTTGAAAAAAAAATATTATCAAAAGGAATTAAGTAAAACTAAACAAATGGTGGCTTTATCCTGTTCACAAATTGAAGGACTTGACACCATAAACATACCTCTTCTTCCGGAAGTTCATCTATCAGTTTAATACAATTCCAACTTTGGAGGAAGTTGAAAAGTTGATTCTAAGATAAAATGTAAATGAAAACAATCAAGAAAATTTAGACTCTTGAAGAATAACAACACTGGAGAACTAAATATTGCTGGATTTATAAAGCCACAGGAAACAAGCTTATGGCATTACTAAATGAAAGATAAAATCCTGAAATACATCAAAGCTCATATAGATTCACAAGCTTTTCAAAAGGATTCAAGAAGGGTAGGCATTCGGAGCAGGAGTTAAGACACCAGCTGGACACCTGAATCCCACATTAAAATGAGTGGGTTCAAGGTGTTTTTTTCATACAACTTGCTGAACTCTTTACTTTAGTATAGAGTTAATCTTCTGTGCATAAAGTTCACTGAAAAAAGATCTTAGTTGAGGCCAGTGCCATGGCTCACTTGGTAAATCCTCCGCCTGTGGCACCGGCGTCCCATATGGGTGCCGGGTTGTATTCCCAGTTGCTCCTCTTCCAGTCCAGCTCTCTGCTGTGGCCCAGGAGTGCAGTGGAGGATGGCCCAAGTGCTTGGGCCCTGCACCTGCATGGGAGACCAAGAGGAAGCACCTGGCTCCTGGCTTTGGATTGGCGTAGCTTCGGCCGTAGCAGCCATTTGGGGGATGAACCAATGGAAGGAAGACCTTTCTCTCTGTCTCTCTTTCTCACTGTCTAACTCTGCCTGTCAAAATTAAAAAAAAAAAAAAAAAAAAAAAAAAAAAAAGATCTTAGTAAAAACTGAAGCGTTGGCATCCCATATGGGTGCCGGTTCTAGTCCGGTTGCTCCTCTTCCAATCCAGCCTGGGAAAGCAGTAGAAGATGCCACAAGTCCTTGGGCCCCTGCACCTATGTGGGAGACTGGAAGAAGCTCCTAGCTGCTGGCTTCGGATTGGCATAGCTCCGGCCATTGCGGCCATCTGGGGAGTGAACTAGCGGATAGAAGACCTCTCTCTCTGTCTCTACCTCTCTCTGTAACTCTGTCTTTGAAATAAATAAAATAAATCTTTAAAAAAAAAAACTGAGACTGGGAATAAGAGAGAAAGGAGGAAGAGGGGTGGGAGTATGGGTGGAAGGGCAGGTATGGTGAGAAGAATCACTATGTTCCTAAAATTGTATTTACAAAATGCATGAATTTTGTACTCCTTAAATAAAAGCTTTCTTTGGGGAAAAATCATTTAAAAAAAGTGAAAAAAAGAAATCATTGGGTTCAGTTCCTGGCACTGCTCCTAGCTTTCTGCTAATGTATACCCCAGCAGGAAGCAGGTGATGGCTCAAGCACTTGACTTCCTACCACCCACATGAGAGACAGGATTGATTCTGAGCTCCTGACTTTGGCCTACTGCATCCCTAGCTGTTGCTGGAAGTTGGGGAATAGACAATCAATCTCTGTCTCTCTGCCTTTCAAACAAAATGAAAATAATTATATATTTTATTTTAAAATGGACTCAATAGTAACTCAAAGAAGTTTCCAATAGTCAAAGCTTGACAGGGTGAACATTGATAAGAAATAAGAAAAGGCTAAAATACATTAAATATACTTTAAATAAGAAAGCTTATGTCTCTGTAAAAAGAATACACTAATTTAGGAAAGGCTGAAAAATATTGTTTGTATTCTTAAGTATGTCAGCATGGTTTCTGGAATATAAGATAATTATCTGCATGCTAATCTGAAGTATTTGTTAAATATGTGCATTCATAATGATGCTTTTAACAATTTTGCTATCTTTGAAGGATAACAGAGGATCAACTCATTATTTTTTAAACCTAGTTTTTCTAAAACTGGAAAAAATACTTATTTATTGATTCATTCATTCATTTGAAAGACAGAAGAGCCAAGCATTTCTCCCATCTTACAGAAGCTGTAATGGAATTTGCTGATTGCCTACATGCGGAATGAACAAATGTCTCTGTTCTATGTGTTTCCTACAGATTAGTATTTGAGTCCATGGACTTGATCACATTCAGGTTTGAAATTTGGGGCCAGATAACTTTCTGGTGGTAACACCATCAGGACAAAGACCCGGTTTCTTCAAGTAATACAAATGCAATGCACTTGATTGTTCAGGGATACACAAGTGAGTGGCAAAACTATAAAACAAAGCAGAGAACTTCTTTTTATGTAACCTAAATACAGGTCACTTCTAGTGGGCAGGTGAAGGCTTATGCTTGGGTTGGCTGTGCGGTAGGTTTCTACAGGCTGGATCAGCCTGCCAGAGCAGCCATTGCAAAACCCCACAGGCTGGGCGGCTTCAATAACAGATGTTCATTTTCTCATGCCTCTGGAGACAGGAGGTCCAAGACCAAGGCTGAGCAGAGTTGATTTCTCCTGAGGTCTCTCTCCTTGGCTTGCAGACGGCTGGCCTCCTTCTGCCTCTTCACGTGGGCTTTCTTCTGTGCATCAGGTTCTCCGTTATCTCTTCCTCTCCCTATAGGGACACCAGTCACACTGGGTCAGAGCCCCATCCTTATGACCTCATTTAACATGGATTATGTCTTCAAAGGTTCTGTCACCAAATACAGTCACATTGGAGGTGAGGGCTTCACCATGTGAACTGGGAGGAGACCCATATCAATCCACACTGTGGCTGGTCAAGTTTTATTTCTTGAGCTAGGGGAGTTAAAAGTGTTCACTTTGTAATAATTCTTTATTATATACAGATGTTTTATATGGTTTATGGATCTGTGCTATACATTAAAATAAAAAATTGCAAAGTTAGGAAATGATTACTTCTGAGGAAAGAGGTTTAAAGAGGGCTTGAAAGTTTTTTGGGAACATGACTGCATTCTGATTTTTTATCTAAGTAGTGGTTACAAGGGTTTGTGTTAAATTGTGCCCAATATATATCTATGATTATTGACTCTTCCATATGTGTTTAACTTCAATAACAAAAGTTATTTAAAAAATAAAAGAAAGCAAGCGTAAGAGAGTCTTTCTTAGCCACTGCTTAATTTACCCTTCATTTTTTATTTTAGGAAGTGTTGCCTTTTGGTATCATCTGTGTCATGGGAGAAATACATAATTTCATACTCGATTTAGAAAGAGTCCAGATGCTGTTACATTATTTAGTTGGTGCTGTGTTGGAAGTGTTGCTTAAAGAGAGACCTTTGCTGCCAGAAATTTCCTTGCAATATATCATGCTAAACACTGTTGATTTGTGTTTTAAATGTTGCCTAATGGTTTTTGTAGTATTTGAATTTTTACTGTAAACTATGAGAGCTATCTGCAGGGAATCCAGGCCTTTCCTGTTTCTCATTTCCTCCATTTTTGGAGATAACATCACAGTATATAGAGAGGGGACCCAGTTATTTCCAAATCCATAGATTCACTGGGGCTGGGCAATGTCAAATCAGCACCTGAATAAATAAAACATGAGCCCATTAGTGCAAGCTTATGTGACCTGTCAGCATCATTAGGCTCTGCTGTGCACAGGAAGCCAGCTGGGATCAGGCCTTTCATAATGATGGCATCTCTCGAGAGAGCCTAACAAATCCAGGCTTTGCTTTTTGAATAAGCATTCCCGTGTTTACTTTCCAGGCAAGGGTCTCACTTCATTTTCACGTTGCTGTAATTCAAACCCTTCCCTCCTCGGAGTGCTCCCACCCTGCTGTGAATGGACGCAACCAACGAGGCTCCATCGAAACTCAGCTCTCCCAACCTCATGCACAGAATAACCAAGAAGAAGCCGAATGTTCACCAGGCCTTGCTTCACTGCTGACCAGATGCTCAAAGGCAACCTCTGCAAAGACCCCCTCATCTGATAGGATAAACTTGTTAGCTTTACAATTCAAAGTTCGTTCGTGCAGTGGCTGTTAATATTTAAGAGAACAGCTTAGGAAAATGAACCTTGATGCAGTCTGTCCCGATTCAGATCCCAGCCTTGCCTCTGCACAGTTGTGTAACCTTGGGCAAGTCACTAAAGCTTTCTGAGCCTCAGTTACTCCTTATAAATTATGATGCTGGGGCCGGCACCACGGTTCAGTAGGCTAGTCCTCTGCCTTGCGGCACCGGCACCCCGGGTTCTAGTCCCGGTCAGGGCGCTGGATTCTGTCCCGGTTGCCCTTCTTCCAGGCCAGCTCTCTGCTGTGGCCAGGGAGTGCAGTGGAGGATGGCCCAAATGCTTGGACCCTGCACCCCATGAGAAGCACCTGGCTCCTGCCTTCGGATCAGCATGGTGCGCCGGCCACGGCGTGCCAGCCGTGGCGGCCATTGGAGGGTGAACCAATGGCCAAAAATGAAGACCTTTCTCTCTGTCTGTCTCTCTCACTGTCCACTCTGCCTGTCAAAAAAAAAAAAAATTATGCTGATACAATCAAACAGTGTTATTATATATAATGTCCTTAGAGGATGTATATAGTAAGCACTCTAAGCATTTGCTTCTGATTATTATTCTTATATTTTTTGCTTTTATTTATTTATTTGAAAGGCACACAGATAGAGACAGAGAACTCCCATCTGCTGGTTCAATCCTTAAATGCTTGCAACAATCAGGGCTGGGCCAGGCTGATGTCAGAAGCCCAGAACTCTACCTGGGTCTCCCAGATGCCCGGCAGGGAGCCAGGCACTTGAGCCATCACCTGCTGCCTCCCAAAGTGCACATCAGCAAGAGGCTGGAATCAGAAGCAGAGCCAGACTCAAACCCAGGCACTCTAACGTGGGATGCAGTGTCCCAAGCAGCATCTTACCAAATGTCTGGCCCATGGTGATTATTCTTATTTGCTATGTGGGCCTGTACAAGTCACTTAAACACCCTGTGCTTTAGTACCCTTATCTATAGAAAAAAGGAAACAGCAGCATGAACAGTACATATTTTTAGGGTTGTTATAAGCATTGAATTAGGTAATTTGTGTACATTATCTGTTGACTTTTATTATTTGATCTCTATTCTTACCTACAGAAATGCAGGTAGGAAATTGGGCTGACTGAATTTATGCATCACATTCATAAATTTTCAGGGAAAAAAAGCATTGGGTCTTTATATTTTTCAGATTTAGTAGAAGTGCATTTCTGTAATAATAAATTTGAAAAGCAGAAAAAATCAAATGTCACATCTCTGTATGCAACTATACACATTTTACATATTTTATATTTTTCTTTCCAATCCCTTCTCTACCATGCACAAACTTGGAGCAAGGTAAAAGAAAATCATAATTTTAACATTTGTTCTTTGAATTCCTGTTAGAGAACTGTCTCCCTTTAGCATTAATAATATCACTTGGGTAGCAAGTGAAACTGTCATGCATTAATAATAGTCAAGGATACATAAAGTTAAAGCATCCAGCAATAGAAATGAACAGTAATCTTGAAGCACAGAGCAGGCAACACTGAGACGAATATAGAGAGGAGGTTACGAAACAAAGTGATAGGGGCAAGTGTTGCGGTGCAGTGGGTTAAGCGTCCACTTGAGACTCCCACATCCCACTTTTGGAGTGCTGGTTTGAACCCCAGCTACTATGCTTCTGATCTAGCTCCCTGTTAATGTGCCTGGGAAGCAGCCAACGACAGCTCAAGTGCTTGGTCTCCTTTCACCCTTCCAGGAACCCCTGAGGGAGTTCCTGGCTGCTGGCTTCAGCATGATCCAGCCTTGGCTGTTGCAGCCATTTGGAGAATGAACCAGTGGATGGAAGATCTCTCTCTGTCTCTCCCTCTTGCTCTCTCTCTCTCTCTCTCTGTATTCCTTACTTTCAAAATAAATGAGTATCTTCCTGAGGTCTCTGTACAACTCTGTGCCTATTGCTAACAATATGGCATTGTGTACTTCAAAATTTAAGAAAGCGGATCTCACAATAAGTATCCTTACCACATGCATAAACTCCTCTCTCTTTTTGAATATGAGAATAATAAAAAACAGAAACAAAAGTTGTCCAAAAAAGCCATGGGCCTCTATGAGGCAAATAAAATGTGGACCGATTTTAAACAGTTGTTGATGGCTTGGAATTTTTCCTTCAAGAGGTGTTATCAATTTTAAAATATTTATCTATGGACTCCCTGAATTTAATACACTCACCTCCCTTCTCTTGGTCCTTCAGCAATGTAAGTTGAATCATCCTGCTTGATTCTTCAGTAATTAATAGCTTCATAACCAGCATATTGAAACTTCAATATGTTCAATTTTGGAATGAACCTATAAACAAACACATGCAAGACTTAATTATAATTACAGAAAAATGATCTTCAACATTGGAAAACTAATAATACCACTGAAGAAGCCAATAGAGGAATAGGAGGGAAAATGGAGAGAAGGTGTAAAGACAGTACATTTTGCATCTTACATTTGGGCAATCAGCAAATAGTGCCAAAGTTGATGTTGAAATTTACTTAATCTATAATAAAATGAGAAGAGTGAGGCTGCAGCAGAAAAGGTCGACAGAAGGGAGATGTGTTAAATCTAGTGAATCAGTACATGAATTTTTTTCAGTTGATAAATCAGGAAAATATAAAGAAGCAAGTTTTTTAGAATTTGTTTACAAGCAAGGAGAAAAACTAACACTAAAATCTGTTAAAAATTAATGGGGGATAATTTTACTTTTTATTTTATGCTCTCTGTACAATTATATTACTAAGTGTGGTAGACAGATTATGGTCCCCAAAGATGTCCACGTCCTAATCCTCAAAACTGTGAATATGTTACTTTACACAGCAGAGGTGATTTCTGCAGGTGGGGAGATTTTTGAGAGAGAGGGAGGGAGTGTTCTAGCGTATCTGGGTGGGTTTCATGTAATCACAGGAGTGCTTCCAAGACAGAGGCAGAGGTGACAGCAAGAGTGGAGAGGTGACCACAGACACAGACACTGGAGTGATACACTTTGAAGGTGGCGGATGAGACCACAATCCAAGGATACGGGAGGCGGGGGAGGCTCTAGAATCTGGGGAGGGCCGGGAGAAGGATTCTACCCTAGAGCCTGCAGAAGGACACGGCTTTGCCCACACCTTAATTTTCTCCCTTAAGACTCATTTTGAACGCCTGATCTTAAGAACTTTAAGACACTAAATGCATTCCAAGCCACTAAATTTATGGTAATTTTTTTTTTTTTTTTGACAGGCAGAGTGGACAGTGAGAGAGAGAGAGAGACAGAGAGAAAGGTCTTCCTTTGCTGTTGGTTCACCCTCCAATGGCCGCCGCGGCTGGCGCGCTGCGGCCAGCGCACCGCGCTGATCCAATGGCAGGAGCCAGGAGCTAGGTGCTTTTCCTGGTCTCCCATGGGGTGCAGGGCCCAAGCACCTGGGCCATCCTCCACTGCACTCCCGGGCCACAGCAGAGAGCTGGCCTGGAAGAGGGGCAACCAGGACAGAATCCGGCGCCCCAACCGGGACTAGAACCCGGTGTGCCGGCGCCGCAAGCGGAGGATTAGCCTAGTGAGCCGCGGCGCCGGCCAATTTATGGTAATTTTTACAACATCAAGAAGAAAATAAAATACGACGCACTGACTTGCACTGCACTTTTTTTTTTTTTAAATGAAAAGAAACAGAAACAACCAGAAAGAAGCCTGCCAGTGGATGCAATCTCATCCTTTTTCCTTGGTGAAGATAGGAAAGGCTATGTTTTCATTTTGTGTCCGTTGGCTTATGAAACGTTAACAAGCTCAGCAAGACTTCAGGACAACTCTCATCAAGGAAGCCCCAACAGTAGATGATCATGCATGGATCTGTACTGAAACACTTGCAATGCGGCAGAGTTTCCTGTGTCCTAACCTGCTGTCACCTACAGCTGACCCAGGCAACAAAGTGACATCTGTGCGTAAGGATATCTGAGAAATCCAAGTCCTACTGCAGGCGGCAGAGGGTGGCCCCACCACCTGGCAGGCCATTCACGTGGAATTCGCTGTCAAGATCAGTCAGAGGATTGGAAGGTGGTCTCAGGAGGCATGCGCACAGCAGTATTTCAGCCCAGCAGAGTAGGGGGCACCCTTCTTTCCTTACAGCTCTGTTCCACATTTCCCAGGGGGAGTGGATGTCATCTCTGTGCCCCCAATGCCCTGACATCACACCCAGCAGGGTGACTTCTGAGCACATCCCAGTGTCCAGATACTGCGATCTAGAAAGCACCACAGCTCCTGGTCTTCCTGTCGGCACTGTTCACCTCCAGCCTCTCACTTGTTATTGCAACTACATTCTTGGTAGTCTCAGCTCAGGAAATCTGCTTGATGTAACTCAAAGAAACTGCAACCTTTCTCCCATGGAAAGAGAGGAAAAGAAGGCAGCCAGGGAAGGTAAGGAGGCCAGCTGGGAGCTCTGAAATGAGGTGTGCTGTGGGTGGAGTGGGGTTACAAAAAGAGTGCACTGCAGTTTCTTTTTCAAAGCTCCTCCATCAAAACGCGCAGTTCCACTCAAAGGATCACTATGTACGCAGACCCCAAGTGCTGATGGTTCCCCTGAACCTGCCAAGTCACTCATGAAACGACACTTTTTTTTTTTTTTTTCAGACAATGGAACTCTTCTGTGAAAAACTGAAATGAGCAGGCTTGGCACTGCTTTGGTTCAGGGAAGAAATACTCACTCTTGGGTGGGAGTTGGGGCAGGAATTTAGTAAATACATAGCAGGACAAAGACAATTTTTCATCAAAGGGACACAGATAGGTAAGGAAACAACTCAATCTAAGAATAGCATTTTCTCTTATTATTGTATAGTTGATCCATCCCATCCATCCAGTGGGAGGAAAGGATGCCGAGAAAGCAGTATTCATCCCATTCTCTAATGAAGAAAGTGATACCAGGTGAATCTCAACACCTGGCCCAAGACCTGTCAGGTACTAAGTGGCAGAGCCAGGAACTGAATCAGATTTCCGGACTCCAAGCCCAGAGCGTCCTTCCTGGCCAAGCTGCCTGTCTGTTGGGTGCACACCAGTCATCTTACCCATGTATCATGATTCAACTTGGAAGCAGCACACATGACTTCTGGTCTCATCTTATAAGCCAGAGCAAGCCACTTTTCAGTATGCAGAATGTCTAATCCTCTTGCTGGGAGGGCAGTGAATAGTTGGAAACAGAAACAGAACTTGTACCACCTCTTCCCTGGGTCCAGCAGTGGCAGCAGCTGTTGATACTCTCTAAGTGCACCCACTGTCCTCTGTCTGGCTTGTCCATCCACAATCTCCTGTGCTGACGCTTCTCTGTTGAAATACCGTAGTGTTTTCTGCTTCTTAGTTAAGCCAACAGCCTCTGCCTCATGAACATTTGAAAACTTTCTGTGCTTGGGATGAGCTGGGCGCAGAAAATACCGTGTGCTGTGGGTTTTTAAGTAGTAAATGTAAACATCTGAGGTGAATAATAATAATAATCACTTTGTATGAGCTGGGATTTGGTACCATTCTGAACGACAGAAAAGCCAAAACCAACAGGGGCATAAACAAAAAAAGAACTTTATTTTTCTGGCACTTGGTCATGACTAGAAATAAGGGACCCAGAGGGCTGATCTGACCCCACTCTGTAATCGTCGGGAACCTAGGGACTATCCCTTGGCTTCCACTTCCTGCTCCAAGATGCATGCAGCAGTAACTATGTGTTTTGGAATTGAGTAGCTCAAATAACTGTCTCTTGCATCTACTCCCCAATTATTTTGAATTAACTGCCTGTATTGACTTTTAAATTTTTTATGTTTTATTTTAAAAGGATGTAGATGGATACTGTTTCAGTTGGCTACAGCATGGCACCTAACCATGTCTGACCATAAGGGACAGACTAAGAAATACTAAAATACTAGTCTCTGTTCCAGGAGCTGTGTATCCAGCTAAAAATCAGGAGTTCTGTTGTTAAGGAAGGCGATGGGAGGATGGATGTCCAGGAAAACTCACAACCTCTGACACGTCCCCAAATGCTCTTAATAGTTCATGAGTCTTGAGTAACCATTTCTGCATTCATGGTAGCGATACGCCTCAGGGTAAAGACAGTCATTTTTTCCTATTCTTATGATTGAGAGAGGAGAATTTAGTCTTCAGAACCCTTAAGGAGAGCTGATAAAGGAACTCAATCTCCCCAGAGTCATCAAGAGAAAGGAAGAAGCTAAAAAACAAGTTGAAACAGAAATTTGCTGGAAACAATATTCAGTGATCCTCATGAAATCTGTTGCAGTCAATATTTACGTAACACTTTTTATTTTACATTTTAGGCTTTTATTTAGTGCGAAAGATGCATAGGAGAGTTATTTAAGAGAAATAAATCTGGGTTCGTACCGAGCACCAGGAACCAGCCACGTGGAGGAGCATCTAGGCCAGGAAGGGTAGGCTGTGTGGCCACGTGCCCTGGGGGCGCAGGGCTGCAGCAAGCCACCTCAAGGCCAGGGCGAAGAAGCGAGAAGAAGTTATGTAACACTCTAATAAAACAACTTATACTCACTCTCATTAAATCCTCACCAAACATTTGTAATGTGTGTTAGCACCCTCATTTGACAAATGAGAAAGCTTAAATGTAAAGAATGTAAATGATTAACCCAAGTTTAAAAACAATGGAAGTGTTGGGTCTGAAACTAAAGTCCTGGAGTCCAGAGTTTAGAATCTATGCTCCTTGCTCACCACCAGTATCTTTCCCTTCAATGAATTTGAAAGTGTACGCATTTCTCCATAATTTAAAAGTAGATATCAATGATCCCTACAAAATCTCTGTGTGATCTCTGAGGACCTTGGATAACTGATGTCCTTGACATGTGTCAATCAGTAAAGATCAAACCCTTTGATGCAAGATGAGCTGCTATGGTCCAATGGTGGATGTATCCTCCAAAATTTATGTGCTGGAACCTAATTCCCAACATGACAGTGTGAAGAGGTGGGGCCTTTGGGGAAGTGATGATGTCACGAGGGCACCAGTCTCGAGCCTGGGATTAGTAGCCTTCTAAGTGAGGTTAAAAGGCATGCCCCATCCCTTCCCCTTCTACCACGAGAGGACAGACAGAAGAGAGTAAGCGCTCACCAGACACCAAATCTTCTCCTGGTGTCTTGATCAGTCTTGATTTTGGACTTCCCAGACTCCAGACCTATGAACAGTAAAGTTCCATGTTTATAAACGACCCAGTCAAATGTATTTTGTTAAAGCAGCCAGACCAGGCTAAGACATGGTCTTCCTATAAACCAGAGGTCATGCTGGAATCTGAACCTTTCTCTAAGAGAGTTGGATGTACAATTGTCCAGGCAGGTAAGCCAGTAATTCTGCCATTCCACCTGCTTCCGAGACATCCAGCCTGCCACTGGCCAAAGCTGCCTTTCCGTCTCCATTTTTATCAACATTTCCTAGACTGCCAGACCTCTCATCATTAATCACTTTTTACAAAGTAAAAAACAGGACACTCATTTTCCTCACACTAGCCAGGAAATGGAAGCAACTCAAATGGCCATCAATAGGTAAATGGATAAATCCAATGAGGTGCATCCATTCAGTGGCATTTATACAGCCTTAAAAAGGAAATCCTGTCACATACTACGACCTGGGTGAACCTCCAGGACATTATGCTAAACAAAATAAGCTGTCAAACAAGGACAAATCCTGTATGATTTCATGGACATGAAGTATCTAAAGTAGTCAAAATCATAGAACCAGAAAGCAAAAAAGACGGTTACCAAAGGCTGGGGGAAAGAGGAAGAGGAAGGGAAATCATTTGAATGGGTTTAGAGTTTCAGTTTTACAAGATGAAAAGTTCCAGAGAGCATTTATTCTACAATGTGAATATACTGAACACTACTGAACTGTACAGTTAAACTTGGTTAAGCTGCTACATCCAATGTGTTTTTTTTTGCCACAAGTTTTAAAAAGGAAAAAAAAAACAACGATTACTATACACACAATATGAATTAGGGTTTTCTAGGCAAGAAAGAGGATGCTGACTCAGGAATCAGTTACATGGTTTGGGACGCCAATCTAAGCTGCAACCAGGTAACGAAGCCATCACTGTTGGGTATGCCACACTTAATCAGGTTGGAATTCAGCAACTGAGCTTGCCAGCTATTTGGAGCTGGATTGAATCAAGTGCCATCAGTGCCAAATCTGTGGAGGAGAAGGCAAGAGACTGAGATGAGCTGGGGGACACATCATTGAGTGCTCACAGCAGGCAACTGGGCAGGGCTTCTTATCTCAGATTCACTGGATAAATCTTTACTCAATCTGAGTTACCTGGATCCTAACAGTATCTGGTGTTGACTCACTTGCTTTCAGAGAAATTCTCTTCAATAACACACACTGTCATGGGCCCCTGATCATCTGCACCAGTTGGCCTCAACCCCGGATGCCTCCAGCAGCTTGCCCGGCTTACAGGTGCATGCTAGGATTCTGCCTCCAGCTCCCAGTCTTCCCATAACTCAATCCTGGCTCTGCTCTCTTGGTTTTGCTGCTCCTCCCTAGGTGGATTTGCCCGTTTCCCACATTTGTCCTCTCTGCCCTGCTGGATTCCTGCTAATGCTGTACTTTTCAAGAGCTTCATCTTCTGCCTGTTTTGTATTTTCAAATCCTGGACACAAAATACCATTACATTTAACAACAAATCTTTAGATTCATGAGAACACAGTGGTAAGAATTCTTAGTGCCTGCATGTAATAATCAATAAAAGTTAGAGCAAGCCATTTCTAGAAAATAAGAACCGGCCGGCACCGCGGTTCAATAGGTTAATCCTCCGCCTAGCGGCGCCGGCACACCGGGTTCTAGTCCCGGTCGGGGCGCTGGATTCTGTCCCAGTTGCCCCTCTTGCAGTCCAGCTCTCTGCTGTGGCCCGGGAAGGCAGTGGAGGATGGCCCAAGTGCTTGGGCCCTGCACCCCATGGGAGACCAGGAGAAGCACCTGGCTCCTGGCTTCGGATCAGCGCAATGTGCCAACCGCAGCGCGCCGGCCGCAGCGGCTATTGGAGGGTGAACCAATGGCAAAAAGGAAGACCTTTCTCTCTGTCTCTCTCTCTCACTATCCACTCTGACTGTCAAAAAATAAAATAAAATAAAATAAAATAAAATAAAATAAAATAAAATAAAAACCAATAAACCATTCCTGTATAGAAATATAATGGTTATATAATCAGTTTAAGGTAATGCCTTTCATATAAAATCTGATTCTTTGAAAATATTTAAGCCAAAGTGATTACTATCAGCCATGCAAATTAGCTCAGAGGCACATTAAGGCCTAAACTTGATAAGAACCATTTTTATTAAAATATGAATGACCTAAAATAACCAGCAGACCCTCCCTTGGTACTAAAAGTGTTTCCTAATAATTCATTTCACTGCTAGATGAATCCTTTTGAAGACAGCAAACTGAGTCCAAAGCAACAGAAACATGTATTCCTAAAGATCTCCAAAAAGGGACATCCCAACACAGAGCAATATTACAAAGACCTTGCGGTTGGACTTTTATCAGGCAGCCCAAGTCCTAATTCTGGCTCTGCCACTCACCATGTGCATGCCCTTGATAGGTTATTTAGTGACTCGCAAGCCACCTTCTGTTCATCTCTATAATGGGGGAAAAAAAAGCCTACCTACCTGGTAGAATTGTGACAATAAAATCAGAGGGCCTACACAAAGCTCTTAGCACTAAAATGCTTTGCACATAGGAGGATAAGTGAAGATAGTAGACATACTATCTACATAAAATAGACATACTATAAACATAAATATGATAGTATGATAGACATACTGTTAACATAAAATTCATAGTTCCTGCCACAAAAGGTAGATTTGAAAAGAATATTGGATATTCAAAACGACTCAGCTATGAGATAGATGCAATGCCTACATTCAACAGCAGGTGGCACTAGCACCATAGCTATCTGGTACTACATCACCCTGGGGTTTGGTTGTTTTTTTGTTTGTTTTTTGGGTTTTTTTTGCTTTGCTTTTAATTGCTCCTTTTTAACTTGCTTTTCCAGAAACAATAGCATTTCCTCCTTGATATTTTAATTTTTGTTATTCCTTCATAGTGTCATAAGTTATTTTCAGTAGTACATGGGAAATTACTGCTATTTTTAAATGCAGACCAAATTTGCTAGGGACTGGTTTCATGAAATTCAGAAAATTTACTTTGAGGTTTTGCCCTCTCTCTCTAATTCATTTTCTAAATTCAATGGTGTTCTTCTACCATGGGTCCTTGAAAGACAAATAGTCCATGTCTGTGGTGTTCTTGAATCCTAAGGAAGGCCAAGCCGCATTCCTGGGACACCACAGAACACACATGTATTAGAAGCAACACGCAAAGGAAAGCCGATGAGCGCTGCAAGAGGAAAACTGACAGTGGTTCTAAAATCATTCCTAAATTGCTTGATGAATTTGCTCATGGTTAATTTAGCAGCAATCGTAATTATATTTTCCAATTATAGATCTGTTGCTCTCACAAGCACCTTCATATATTTAATTTCCTATGCTGCTGCCTTTGTAACTAATGACAGTTCATTCTCTAGCCCAGCTTGGACACAGATTTTATTCTAACGATGTGCCTGACCATCAGACAGCTTGGGCTCCCTGTATTACAGATTTGGAGACTCTCTAGAGAAGTGAGTGAGCTCAGTTGCTAACGGCAATACACTAGCTTGAAGTCAACTTTAGGCAAACACAAGCCCTGAGCAAAATGTGTCCATGCAACCACGGCCCCCAAGTGTTGCTTGCAACCAAGACCTCTGTGGTTAGTACAAAAAAGGGTGGTGCTGACAGAGATAGAAACACCTCCCGACCACAGGCCAGGGCTGTGTGCTCCCCCTGGACAGGGTGCCCCGTGAGGTCTTGCAAACGCCTTTTCTGGAGCTCGTAGCACCAGCCTTGCTGGAAGGATCCTGAGTGACATCAGGGAGCCCACTGCAAAGGCTCATTCCACCTGGGAGCCTCCCCCACTGATGCCGAAGAACAACTGCAGGACCCATTTAAACTTTTTCTAACGAAGTAAATAAGTTGGAAGTTAGGTTCTTCTCTGTTTCAAGATGGATACATGGGGGAGCAGGGACAGAATCTGCAGAAAGTGAAAGTCACACTGTTGCTCTGACCACCAATCACAGACTGGATAACGTATGTCTTTTTTTTTTTTTTTTTTTTGACAGGTAGAGTCATAGACAAGACAGAAAGGTCTTCCCTCCATTGGTTCACTCCCCAAATGGCCGCTATGGCCGACACTGCGCCAATCCGAAGCCAGGAGCCAGGTGCTTCCTCTTGGTCTCCCATGCGGGTGCAGGGGCCCAAGCACTTGGGCCATCCTCCACTGCCCTCCTGGGCCACAGCAGAGAGCTGGACTGGAAGAGGAGCAACCGGGACTAGAACCCGGCACCTATATGGGATGCCGGCGCCGCAGGCAGAGGATTAACCAAGTGAGCCACGGCACCGGCCCCTGGATAATGTATGAAGAATGCAGTTTCCCAACCACACAGTTCTGGGGCCTGCGACGTGCAAGAGCATGAAGCTGGCATCTGTTTAACATCTGGGAAGGGCCTTCCTCCTGGGTCTTCACATGGCAGAGGACATGGTGTGACAAGACAGAGCAGGCATGCTGGACAAAGCTTGCTTTTACAACGAAGCCACTCCCACTGACCCATTAATTAGTGAATAATTAAATCCATGCACTCAGGAACCAATCACTTCCCAGCGTTTCCACCTCTCAACACTGTTGTGCTGGGAACAAGCTTCCAACACATGAAATTGGGGGGCACATTCAAATCATGGCACATACATTAGAGCAGAGAAGTAAATTTGGTGAACGGATCTCTCTCTATACATTTATATACATGCACATACATATGCATATAAATCTTTTAGCCAATGAAGTTCCCTTACGTGTACTTCCAAACAAGAGAAGAGTTAAATATATTATATGCTAAAATTCTGATTCATTGAGACATTTCATTGTTGATTCTGTTAGCCAGTTATAGCATCAACAAATGACAAAGTAAGCTCCTCCAACTCACTCCACTGAATACAGCAGCTCTGAACACTGCTCTGGTGTGGAGTGGGAGGACATTCATTCATTTCTTATTTCTGACTAATGGGAAAACATGGCAATTCACACAAATGTGATGCTAGCTGC